AACCACAAAAAGCCAAGGGACATTTGAGTTGTTGTTGATACACCACCTACTAAATCAGTCACCTCATATGACCAAGAATATAAGGCCAATACACCATCCATCACCCATCTTTGTTTGTCCCCTCTTTTTAGCCAGAATATCAACCACAATCATCAAAGGATTTCATTCATTCTTTGTGATTTTTGCCTCCACAACAGGACAGACAAAGCCAGCTCCAAAGCCAAGACAAAGTCAAACAAAATCAGCCCTTATCAACTCAAGATTGGAAGCTAGTGAATGATAAAGGGATGTAGGAAGGTTCCTTGTATTTGCATTCATTATATTGTGTGTTTCCCTCCTCTCCCCTCCTTATATATTTCGGCCATTTGGCCCTTGTAATGATCATCTCTGAATTATTAAAAACTCCTTTTACTCTTTGAGTATTTATAAAATAGTGTGATGCTATTTTAGCCAAATCCCTAATTCTATATCTTAAGAGTGGTTATCTTAAGTGTGAGTTTTAGGTTCTAGATATTTAATTAAGTGTGTCATATCTTAATTAAATTCTAGATTCAAACCCCAAGTTAGGATAAGAGTGTGTAATATCTCTTAAACACCAATATCCCCCCATTTCTCCTCTTAATCTCACTCTTTTCTTCCACTAAAATACCCAAAAGAACTCCCTCATCAGCCCCATATATTTCCAACCCATTCCCCACAAAAGCACCTTTCTGCCTGCCCAGAATCACTGCGAAATAATCGATTATTATTCCCCATAATCGATTATCAGTTCCATTAGAAACATCTGCAGGCAGTAATAATCGATTATCCCCTTAAGATAATCAACTATCACTCATTCCCAGAAAATCTGCAGCCTCCAATAATCGATTGTCTATTTCTGTTAATCAATTATCACGTCCCCCAGGATTCCTGCAATCTCTACAATCGATTGTCTCCTACTATCAGTCGACTATCAGCCCCTCCTGAAGTTTAACGGCTGTTTTGGTTTGCTACCAATTCCTCCATAATCCCGCCCTTAAATTATCTAAATGATAAGACCCCAGTTTCGGGCCTAACACAAGCAGATCATATCAGACAATGGGACCCAGTTTGAGGAAGCAGAGTTTCAAGACTTTCTCAAAACTTGGGGGATTCAGCATACAAATGTATCTGTTGCCTACCCTCAGGCTAATGGACAAGTGGAGAACGTTAACAGGACAATCATAGACGGGATAAAGAAGCTACTTTCAGAAGGAAGCAAATAGGTAGATGAACTACCCAGAATCCTATGGACATACAGGACGACTCCAAGGAGAGCCACAGGTGACACTCCTTTCGGCTTAGCTTATGGTTTTGAAGCCCGGGCTCCCGCTGAGGTAGTAATCCCCACCAGGAGGGAAATGGAATATGATCCGGAGGTGAACGAACAGAATCAGGCCGTAGAGCTGAATTTCGTAGAAGAACGAAATGATGAAGCACGGATCCGGGTAGAGAATTATCGTCGCCAGGTGAAATCTTACTTTGATAGCAAGGTGAAACCAAGGGCGTTCGTGGGGGATTACGTTCTGAGAAAGCGAGAGAAAAGTCAACCAACTAAGGGTGGGAAGCTGGCTAAGAAGTATGAAGGACCTTATATCATCAAGGCCGTTCTTCGCCCAGGTACCTACAAGTTGGTGACTCCCAAGGGAAAAGAAATTGATATGACATGGAATGTAGAGCACTTGGTCAAATTTTATCAGTGAAACCATTTTGTAAAAACGCTCTATTTTTAATTTAAGATGTTTGTTTCAGTAAAATTTCTCTTTTCTTTTAAAGCCAAGTGCCTTTGCAATTTCATTGTTCTATAAATTTCTTTTTTTAAAAAAAAGGAGGGGGGAAGCACCCCCGGGCGATATAGACCCGCATTACAGGGAGGTAGAAAAGTTTATGCCACCTGCTAAAAATAGGGGAGGTAGATAAGTTTATGCCCCCCGGAGGTAGATAAGTTTATTCCTCCGTTAAAAATGAAGGAAGGGTTGGAATTGGACTTTGAGGGCCTTTACAACCCGGAATTCAGGAAGAATATCAAGCAGACTTCGAGGGCTGAAGCTTAGTACTCCACTAGCATAGATCAACCGAGCAAACAAACTTTGAGGGTTGGTGCTCAACTGATCCAAGGTAGATAAGATTATGCCTTTACCCGGAGGAAGGGGAGCAAGGGGCAGATGAGATAAGTTCCCCTGGCATGCCCAAATCCCGGGAGATGAGATTTTATATAGAAAATGAATTATGTACTTGCATTCAAAGAGGTGCAAAGAAATGACTATTAAGGACCATATTGATGGGCCAAAGTTTACATTTTTTGGTTCACAATAAAGGTTCCTAGTAAAATAAAGAAGAAACATTAAGAGAGTTCGTCGATTGCTAATTCGGAGGTTATATCTTTGAATTACAACGATGATTCCTACTTTGAAATTAAGGAACATTCCTTAGTTTGGGATGCAGGGAAAACCCCTGGACCAAACAAGTAAATGCCCCTTGATACAAAACAAAGAAAAGAAATTTGATTTGCAGGAGGCTAGGGACTGAAGGAGGGCCTATTGCATCCATGCAATCAACAAGAAGGAGGTGGGGGACCCTTCCATGGGCTCCTTCTCTTTGATGAGGGACACGTTGATGAATCAGCAGTTTCCCATATGTCATAGTCTTCCCATGTCCCGGGACGGGGAGTTGCTCCCTTCAATGAAGAGCCATTGTTGGAAGACTTCAGCAGGTTTGGAGAAGCAGTCCGGCTTTCACGTGAAGGTTCCGCCTCAACAGTTGGCGAAAAGCGTCCAAGTTTAGCCCTTCGCATCCTCTAGTACAAGGCGAAGTCTTGGAGGGTCAAAGAGTCCCAGTCTATCCTCCCGGATGGAAGCCTGGGTGGACTAGGAGGAGATGGTGCAGGAAGGCGAGGCACCGGATAGAGTCTCGAGAACTCGCGATGACTCTACCCAGCCATGTCGTTGGATTGGGCTGGAGAGACGGTGGAATCATCATCCGAAGAAGAAGATGTCCCAGAGAGGGTTAGGTCGATGATGACTTTACTCTCAGATTTACTTGACATGGTGAAGAAGTCAGAAAGGGATGGACTAGCAGCTAATTATCCTTTCCCTTTTATAGTTAAAGGGGAAGGGATAGTTGAGAAGTGATGAATGCAGATGGAAGACGTGAAAGACTAAGCGATTGGCGAAGGAGGCGGTCGAAGATTTCCAATGTTTGACTAGGGGTTTCTCGCCACTTAAGTTCATGAGCTAGTTAATTGGGCCCATCTGCGGTTAGGAAGCAACGTCATCCGTGGAAGGTAAGGAGTTAAACAGACTTAGACTTCTACTCCATGCAGATGACCGCACGTGCAACAAGATTATATTAAATAACAGGAGATAAAGGTTTTTTTTTCATTAAATAACTCAAACAGAAGATTACAATCTTTTGGGTTACAGTAATGAACTTTTTCCCTGATCTACTTCTATTCTACTACGGGAAAAAGTTGGAGCCAATGCGGATCGGCACTTCCGAAATTTGAAGGAGTGCGTTCGCTGACTCTGGTTCCTCTGCCTGAACCAGAAGAGAACCCCAGAGCAGGAAGGCATGGAGAGTTTCTGCCGAAGACACTTCATGACATTCACAAGAAGCAGGATGGTACCAACGGGTTGGGATTGAAACGCCATCCCCGTGGATACCATCCACCTCCTCTTGATGAGCAGCGATTGCCTTCTCCCGTTCATCTATTTTCGACCGGAGCTCGCTTGCAGTCTATCTCTCTTCCTTCAACTTCTCGAGGATAAGCCGTCTTGCTTCCATCTGTTTCAGGGCAAATTCGTTAGAGCGGGAACCCTCGTGCTTGGCCTCCTGGAGGGAATTCTCCAGCTCAGAGATCCGGGATTCCTTTTCAACCAATCCAGCTTCCAGATTTCCCACCTTGTCTTCTGAAGCTGAGGCCCTTGATTCCAGGATGGAGATTTGTGCCTGGAGCCTGTCAAACTGCGCTTCTAGGTCCCGGGTTCCTTCTTGGTAGATAGCGATCTGCTCTTGAAGGGACTGGACCTTGGATTTCTCATCGGCTAGCTCCATTGAGCAATCTGCCTTGAGCCGGGCATTCTCTTCTTGTAGGACCTGGACTTGTTGTTCCACGGAGTCAACCTTCTGTTGCAAAGCCCTGGCAACTAACTCCTTCTCCTTCAGGAGCACTACAGCTCGATAGTTCCCTGATGCTCCACCCAGGTACTCCTCAGTCAAAGTGAGGAGTGATTGCTGGGCCTAAAAGAAGGAAAGGGAAGTCAAGGAAAATAAATAACCCAAAAAGAGATAAAGAGATTCTTAGAATGAGGAATTACCTGCTCCATGAGATGCAGAGCATTGAGGGCAAGCAAGTCGGGGCGAGCCCGGGGAATTGCAGGCTCCTGCACAGATACCCTCATCTTCTCCAAGTTAGCCTGGATAGTCCAATGGGAAGCTTGTAAGGACCTCAAACCACGGGAGAAGCCTGCCCAACTCTCTGTAAAAACAGGATAAGTTTGCGGCGTGAACTTGCGCCGGATGGGGAGACTGACGGCCGAAGGTGCAGTGGCGGGATGTCGTTCCTCCGGCTCCCGCTGCTCCTCCTGATTCTGCTGCGTCTCAGTCTCTCTCCTCATTTCTGGGGGAGCTTCAGCATCCCTCTGCTCTCCAACCTCATTCTCCTTCGGGTAGGGGATTTCCGTTTCTGTCTGCACTTCAACCTCCCTCTCTGCTGTAGGGGAAGACTCCGGTTCTTTCTGCTTCATCCCTTCTTCCTCATCCCTTCTTCCTCCATATATATATATATATATATATATATATATATATATATATATATATATATATATATATATATATATATAAATCCCGGTAGAAATCACCAAAATCGGTGTGGTTGCGCCGGGGAACACATACCTTGTTTATTGAGAAAGAAAAGATGATACCGTTACAACACGTTCGGGGAGGACTAGACCAGTGCCCCGAAAGTATATGATTAGCAAAAGGAAAGATAAAAAAACATTTGAACAGAGAGAGACAAAACAAATAGGCGCCTCCCCGTAGCACAACCGATTTCAAATCACAGGTCTTATGCAAATCTGGTCTCCTCCAAGAGCGAAGGATTGCAATCCCCCCTCACTGAGCTCGGTCTGTTTGATCATCCAGCCCTTTCTTCGAAACTTCCAGCACCACAGATTAACGGTAAGTTTGATGTTGTTGCAAATACCCCCATAGTTCACCTTCTCCCCTCCAAATGTAATAGAAGCATACTCTTTCCAAATTGACCACGCAATAATACCTGGAGATACTAGCCTCAGATTTCCCACATAAGAATTATTTGATGATCTTAAATTCCACTCTAGTATGTGCTGTCTTAGTCCTATACCCTGGTTCAGTTTAGGACCCTCACACATATTTGCCAATCCTTCCCAAATATTCTGAATCTTGGTACATTGCAAAAGACAATGGTCCATAGTGGCTTCTTCCTGCATACAAAATGGGCATTGAGATGGGAAACACGTCCTGAATCTGTTCATGTTCTCAGGGAAAGGGAGGATATTGTTTTTAACTTTCCATAGGAACATCTGTATTTTTGGGAGTTGTAGATTGTCCCAAAGGAAAGAGTCACTCAATGACATATTGGTATGAATCCTACAGTGTTCATAGGCCTGTTTGATAGATATAGGAACTGCCTCCATTTCTTCTTCATCTTCCCCTTGATCTGGAGTGATGTCCCCCAAGAATTCCTCTCCCTTTGAGTTAATTCTGCAGATTCTTTTTCGAATAGGAGAGTCTGTGAGCTTTTCCTCATAGCAAATTGTACTATACTTTTGTCTCATGAACTGAGCCCACTTGTTGTTATGGTATCTGAAATTCCACCACATCTTGATAGAATAGGCATCCTGGATGTCCCTTATGTCTCTAACTCCCAGTCCACCCTCTTCTTTTGGTTTGCATACATCTTCCCACTTAGTCCAATGATATTTGTTGTTACCACTAGAATTGCCCCAAAAAAAGTTTGCCATCATGGAATGTAACTTGTTAATAACAGACTGGGGTAGTGTGTGCACAGCAATAAGGTGCAGAGGGATGGATGACAGTACATGCTTGATAAGGATTAGTCTACCACTTTGATTTAGAGTCTTGCTAAACCAGCTCTCAATGTACTTAGTAAAGTGATCTATAAGCTCACCACAATCTGTTTTCCTTAGCTTCCCCTTGCAGATTGGTGCCCCTAGATATTTGAAAGGGATTTTGTCATGTTTCATTCCCAAAATTCCTTCTATTTTGATAATGGCTGCCCTGCTGAGTTTGTTACCACTGTAGAACTTACTCTTCCCATAGTTAATCTGTTGTCCAGAGGCCCCCATGTAGATATTGAGAATATGTTTCAGTTTATAGATATTTCTACATTCTCCATTGCAGAATATGATGATGTCATCTGCAAAAGCAAGATGACTTATCATCATGTCTCTGCCCGTGTTGTAGTTGGTGATGTAGGAAGAGTGCATTGAGAAATTGAGTGCTCTAGAAAGTCCATCTCCAGCAATGATAAAGAGGAGGGGAGATAGGGGGTCACCCTGTTTAACTCCTCTTTTCATCTGGAAGAATCCCCTGGGGCTGCCATTAATCATAATGGAAAGAAAAGTGGATTTAAGGTTAGCCATAAGCAGATTCTGAGCTTGACTTGTGAAACCCAGTTTTCTTAGAACCCCTTGTAGATACTGCCACTCTAACTTATCAAAGGCTTTAGCCATGTCCATCTTAACAATGATGTTACCTCCTCTGACCTTGGAGTCAATTTTGTGAACCATTTCCTCAACCAAAAGAATTTGTTCCTCTACCCCCATGCCCTTTTGGAAACCAGTTTGCTCAGCAGAAATAATTTTAGGGAGAATAGCTTGAATCCTATTAGCAAGAATCCTTGTATTAATTTTGCTCATGAAGGTGGACAAGGAAATTGGTCTGAAGTCTCCAAAGACTCTAGGTTTTTCATTCTTGGGAATAAGTGTTATAAAGGTGCTTCCATATGCCTTGGGTATAGGGACACCAGTGAAAAATTCCTGTGTGGCACTAATAACATCTGTTTTAATAATATTCCAGCAGGTTCTGTAGAAGGTGCCATTGAAGCCATCTGGCCCTGGAGCACTTCCAGGATCAAGAGACCAAACTGCAGCTCTAATTTCCTCCTCAAAGGGTAATTTACAAATTCTCTCATTGTCCTCAGCTGTAATTACTTCCTCCAGGTAATCCATCATAGGCTCGACTTGAATGGATTGAGTGTTACTGAAAACATTTGTGAAGTGATCAATAGCTCTCCTGCTAATGTTCTCCATATCTCGGTGCTCTTTACCTGCCTGATCATAAATGCATCTTATTTTAGCTTTAGCCCTTCTGCCTTTAACATAAGCATGATAGAACTTAGAGTTGCAGTCTCCCTCTGAAATCCATTTGAGATTTGCCTTTTGTTTCCAGAATAGTAGTTCAATATTAGTAGCTTGAATGAGATGAGCCCTGCCTTTGTTATCTGCCTCTCTGTTACTAGGATTAGGATCCTGCTCATATGCTTCCTGGGCTGAAATAGCTTGTTCTTCTGCCTCCTTAAGATTGGAAAAGATGTTACCAAAAGTGCTTTTGTTCCAAACTGTAAGAACACCCTTAAGGCCCCTTAGTTTTGAGCTGAGACCTGCCATACCTCCATAGGGATGAGTGCTTTTCCAGTATTCATTGACCACCTTAAGGAAGGAGGGGTGAAGAGCCCAGGCATCAATGAATCTAAAAGGTTTTGGCCCCCCAAGTTCTTCTTTAAAGCAAGTGAGAAGTACAGGCTTATGGTCAGAAGTTGACTTGCTTAGGTGTTTAACACAAACATCATCAAAGTATTGCAAAACTGTTTCATTGACTAATGCTCTGTCCAACCTTCTGAACACTATGCCATTCCTTCTACCTCCTGACCAGGTAAAGATAGATCCTTGTGTGTGAGGGTGGTTTAGATTACATGTTGCAATGCAGTCCTTGAACTCCGTCATGTCAGTTTGATTAGGCATAGTCTTACCTTTGTGTTCACTCCATTCAGCAATGATATTGAAATCCCCTCCAACAACCCATTTGTTGTTGGTTTGGAGGGTTTGCAAACTGTATATATATATGTATGTATATATGTATGTATATATATATATATATATGTATATATATATATATATGTATATATATGTATATTTTTTTTTAATGAACGGTTTTTATTAATGGAAAAGAATCAAGTACAAGAGGAAAGAACTACCCAAAAGTGGTAGAAGATAAAGAAAAAAGGAAAAAGCAACGTATGGGACGCAACCCAATTTGCAGAGGGGACGCAGCCCCTAAAAAACAAAGTGAAAGAGCCTTAGTGGCGACCTCGACCTCGCCTGCCTCGTCCTCGGCCTCGTCCTCGGCCTAGTTGTCCACTTCTTGTTTGAATCGTTAGTTCCAGAGGAGAGTTTCGTTTCTTGTGTTTGACCAGGGTGAAGTCTTCTTCATACTGATATTCTTCACAATCAAATTCTAGTTCTGTTTGGTTCCGTGTCTCCTCATTATCCTGGCTTGCGTCAAAGGTGTCATTTGCAGCAAACTCTTGGGGTTCTTCATCTTTAGAACCTGCTGAAGTTGCATCTTTTGTGACCTCCAAAGGTTTTTCCGTTGTTTTGAAGTCATCTTGTTCCTTGACCTCGATGATGAATAATTGACCATCAACCTCGATGATAGTTTCCTTGTAGGTATGTCTGGTTGTTGCTTTCGCCTCAATTGCAGTCTGAGGGTCAGGTGATATTTTAGCGGCCTGAGTCTTATTGGGTTTAGTCATTCCATCTTCAAAAACAAGAGTGGGAGTAGAACACCCATCATGGATTTCAATTGCATCAGCTACCAGAGTAACTGCATTTTCAATCTCAACGACATCAGCTTTATTTAGAGTCCCAACTATAGCCTCTTCCACCTCTAACTGAGCAGTAGGCTGTATTGAGCTTGATCCCTCAAGACTTGGAATCTTTTTAATGTTGGCAGATCGGTTCTTGGAGCTTTGGACAGATGTGTCATTGCCTCTAGTTGTTGGTGTGGTGCCTTCTGCCACTGACCCCCACCTTGCCATATCCTCTTTGGCTATTTCCTGTTGTTCAAGGGGTGTCACAAGTACATCTTCATTAGCTTTAGAATTTTGGACAGTAGCTTTTGTTTCCTTCGGAATGGGGCAACCTGTGTCCCTACTTGGTTTCGGATCCTTGTAGTTGGCTTTGGTTGAGGTTGCAGCATCTTTCTTAAGAAAAACATCATCCGTAGTATTGCATTTTCCGGTAATGTGCCCTGATTTTTGGCAATCCCTACAATACTTCGGGGTGTCCTCATAGCTCACTAGTTGGAAGAAACCGTGGCCTCCATTATCAATCCAAATCTTCTTCGGTAGTTCTTGTGTAATATCCATTTCAACACAAAAACGAGCCACAGACGGTCTGATTTTTGCAGAAGTAGAGGAGTCCATCATAAGCGGGTTACCCAAGCACTTTGCAATACTGTAAAGAGCCTTAGCCTCTTGAAGATGGACAGGAAGATGAGGTAAAGAAGTCCATATCGGAAAGATTGGACTCTCAATGTCCACATGAAAATCAGAGCTCCATTTGGACACAATCATTGATGACCCATTGATTTTCCAAACCCGTTTTGAGAAACAACGTTGATAATCAAGTGGGCATTTGAAATTCAACAGCAATATATATATATATATATATATATATATATATATATATATATATATATATATATATATATATATATATATATATATATATATATATATATATATATATATATATATATATATATATATATATATATATATATATATATATATATATATATATATATATATATATATATA